AATAAAGTAGATTTTGGAGATGTAGCTCGTATGTACAAATGACCCTAAATAAATCAAATTAAGGATTTATCTTGGTGTATTAATATTTGCATTGGTTGTCCAGCCCAGTACTGTCCCCAATGGATTAACACTAAAGGTCTCCAAAAATTTGAGCAGTGTATCATGAAAGGTGGAGAGGTGAGAACAATCTGGTTCCTGTTCTTGCTTTTCTAAACAGTAATAAGCGAAATTCAAAAACTTTCCCCTGTAACCATATAAGACAAAACTTAAAACCTCTAGTTTAACTTCAGCTAAAGCAACCTGTTAGCACCAAAACTGAGTTAAATTCTTAGTGCTTGCAGTTGCAGAGCTGTCAAGAAAAGCCTAATTATGAAGCTAGACATAAAACAGACATACTTTTTTCTGGAGGAATAGTCCTAGTCCACTCTCCTGTTAACTCACGGTGCAGTAATAATATTTAAAGGTTCACTTGTTCTGTAGGTTCAATTTTCTTGTTATGAAGTGTCTTGAGGTCTCTTTCCTCCTGAGTGATTCTATAGAAATTGCTTTTTCTGTTGATGTGGTTTAATTTAGAACTACCTTTCTCTAATACACACTTACTAGTGGATCAGATGCTTCTGAGGCTTTTATAAATGCAGATTCTTATATCAGAGCTCTCCAGTTATGGGTAGTAAAATGAAAAGGAACCACAACTTTAAAAATGGTATTTTCAGCCCCAGTCTTTGGTCACTTGGTCCATTTGTCCATAATTACTATTGATTTAACTTAGTAGAACCAATCAGCCTGACTAATATGGCTTGATCTGGGCTTTTTGTCTGTTAGCTTCTTTAATTCTGTAGAAATGCATGGAAATATCACCTACTAGAAAGTTTGACCTGAAATGCCTTTTGTATGGGGGGTAGAGAACATTCCTGTGCCAGCTACAGAGATCTTAAAAGCTTCCATGTTTCATCAGTGGTTGATTAAAGCTGTTTCCTTTGTGTAATGTGTACATGGGAGTTGCATAGAGTTTTCTTGTATGTCTGTAGAGAAAAAGAAAAAAAAACCAAAACCCTTAGCCTCCAGTGCATTACTGTGATATGTTCTGTGCGTGCCAAATTTGAACAGCCTAAATAAATGGGCTTTCCCTCCCCTGGGTCAGTGACTGATTGCTCTCCAGCCTCGGGATCAGCCCTCTTGCAGCAGGGCTGGCACTGCTGGATCTGGGTAAGCATTTAGGGAGCTGCTGTGCTGCTGCAGCGACTGCCCTGCCCTTCTCCTGGGAGCAGGAGTGGGGGGAAACAGGCTGGAAGGAAGAGCTGCTGAAGCTGGAGGGATCTGGGGGGAACACAGGTTTGTCTCTGCAGTGTACTCCCGTCTTTGGCTCTGCATCCCCCTGCTTGCTGCAGGCTCTGGCTCCCAAGCAGCACCTCTCTCTGCCTTTAGGTTTTGGGACCAGTTCCCATTGTCTGGGGGCCATCCTGGGAGCCATCTCCCTGTTTGCAGCAGGAGCCCAGCCATGTGCTGGTTGATCTGCACTGCCTTCTCTGTGAGGACTGAGGGAGCTTTCTCTGGCCAGGCCCATGGAGTCTGGGCAGTCACAGGATGGCCCTTCCTCCCTGAGCTGTTCGCAGCTGTGCAGGGACAGAAAGCTGCAGTGTCCCCTCAGCTCCTGGCAGAGCAGTACTAGCGCTGTGCTGCTGTGTCTGGGGGCCGGGGTGATAATGGGCCATTACCTAACTCAGCATGTGCCCTCTGGCCAGGCTTCGTGGTTAAACCCCTTCATTAAAGACAGGCATTGACTGAGTGCTCTGTCTTGGCACCCACACGGGTCACAGGGCTGGGAGCACAAGGTTTTCTGATGCAAAGGGATCCATTGGAGTACAGCTTCCTGATTCTGGGCAAAGCAAACTGGCCTGGATTCTGCTGGGGCTACTGGCCTGTCTTTCAGTCAACTGGGACCTCACCCAAGTGTGTAATGATCGTCATAAACAGCTCCTCCTTGCCCAGGTGTCTGCAGTACTGAGCTCTGTCCAAAGTCCAGGTGGAGATAAGGAAACCAGTGTGACACACTGGGAGTGGTGCTGCCTGACAAACAGGCAACTCCTAGCCAAGATCCAGCTGATAGCTGGTGCCTCCAGGCTGCAGGCATCTTTATCTAGCCCAGGTGATGCTGTGGTCACTTCTGCCTGGGATTTCCTTTCTTGGTCAGAAAATGGAGCAGGAGACACTGCAAAAAAGGAAGGATGTCAGACCTGTAAGGTAGGAGAGCATTTCCCAGAATGTGAAAGCCCTTGGGTCAGGGACTTGGGTTCAAAGTACCTTAGCCCCAGAACTGAGTGATAAGAGGTGACACTTCGGGTCTTGGCTGGGTGTGGTGCCATAGCTTCAGCCAGCTGGAGAGTCTGGCTGCTTTTGGGACCCTCACAAGAAGTCCCAAAGTGTATTGAGCTCCGTGCTCCAGGACTAACAGTAACTCTTAATCTCCAGAGCTGCAGTGCTGTGGGCTTGTCCACATCATGGGGTTTGCTGGCCAAACTTCCCCTCCCAGGGTTGTTTGTCCTGCTTTATCAGAGCATGAAACTCTTGTGACTGTTTTTAAGTTTTCTCCCAAATCACCCAGACCTTCTGAAAAGGCAAGACAAGCAGGGAGAGACAATATGATTAATGCTTCCTATAGCTTGGGTGGTTGCTGGTGGGAGAAATCACTTCCTGACAGAGGTACATGAAGAAAAAGGTGAAGGAGTTCAGGTGAGTCAGGCAGCTCAGTCACACAAGCTCAGCAGGACTTGCCCAGGTACTGCAAACATTTTGAAATCCACATGCAGGTAGTGGTTTCCGAAAAGCCATTTTTGTCCATTGGGCCTATGAGAAGATGAGAACAGGAAATAGAGATTGATAATTCAGGCCTAAATGTAAACAGCAATTACATTTACAGTGTAAATGTAATTTACAAGGAAGGTTAAATTGAGTGTCTTCAACTGTGCCTTGATAAGCCCAGGTACTCAGGCTGAAAAGTAATTCCAGGCATGGCTGAATCAGCAGAAGGATCCACTGTTCTTATTCCAAGTCACTCCAGCTGAGCAACTTCTTGATCTTTATCAGTAAAGGTACCTGCCTGCAGTGCTGGGGCTGCTGTGAGTCATGGGCTGACAAGCACCAAGCCTGGGTGGTTCTGGAGGAAAGGAGGTGACGGGGTGGGCACATGTCAAAATCCCACCTGCTGTGGGGAGAGCAGGGGCAGGCCAGGCCTCAGCTCCATGTGCTCTTGGGCAAGGTGTGGCTTTCTGCTGGCCCCTCTGGATGTCCTTCCCTCCCCTTCCATTAAGGTGCCAAGAGAATTAAACAATGGCAACAGTACCATTCCAGGTGTAAAAAAAATCTGCTAAATGTCTTTTCCCCAAAAAGAATTCTTTTATTTCAGCTTTGCTTCACAAGAACAGTCCTCTTTCTTCCTACAACAGCCAGCTTGGCTTTGTGTGTCAGAAGGGCATCATGTGCCCCGGGGACACTGGACCTGCCCTGGGGGCAGCCTTTGGAGCCCCATTGGAGCCAACCTGCTCCATGGTGCACTTGGAACACTGACTGCACTTCTTGCACTGGCTCTTTTGGGGTCTGTTACTGCTTTGGGGGCAGGCCTGGGTATCTGCTGTCTGCACAGGAGCTCACAGCAAAGGAAAGAATTGTTGCAAAAACAAAAAACTGCAAAACCAGAGGAACTGCATCACTTTCCGGCACCTGCAGCTGCGGGGCCCTTCCTCTCTGTGGCTCCTGGGGGTGAGAGCCACCCTGCCTCGCTCAACAGCTCCCTCCAGCCTGTGGGTTGGGTGGGGGTTTTGTGCAATCCTAATACAGTGCAGGCATTCCCTCACTTCTGGGGAGCTTCAATCCTATAGGTCAGGCATGCTGGGCTGGGGCAAGTGACAGTGCTGACAGGCTGAGGTCACCAGTGGGCCTTGATTCATGCATTCCTCTACATGTGCCACAAAGTCCAGGATGATAAACCACAGGCTAATCCTGGCTGTGGGGCAGAGGTCTGCTTCCTGAGTTTGTCCCTCTAGGATGGGGAGAGCAGTCCTATCTGCCACCTGTGCTGGGACAGGGAGTGGGGGGACACACACGAGGGTGGGGGCAGGGGTGGCTCTCAGCTCCCCATTTTCTTGGTTCTTTTTCTTACCTGGTCCCAGCTGAGTCACACACAGTCCTCCCCCACCTTCATCATGGCCCCAAAAGCCACAGTGCTGAGGGAGGGACAGGATGTCCCAGTCCTGTGGAGTCTCTGGTGTGCAGTACAAGGGTTGGTCACACACTGGCCTTCCCCGGGAACAAAATGGAAGCAGGTCTGCCCCTCATCCTCCATCCTGGCCTTGGCTCTTTGCACACACTGGAGGGACCAAGGGGCCTTTTCCTCCCCTCTCTCAAACCCTGCTGATGTCAGCACTGGGCTCAGCAGCTTTATTGTAGGGAGAAAGGCACCAAGCTGTCACATGGCCTCTGCTATTTCCTAAGAAACCAGCTTGAAAACATAAAGGGGAAAAAAAAAAAGGAATAATAAAAGAACAAATGAAAAAAAGAAAAAAGGGGGGAAAAGAAAAAAGGCAAAGCAACAAGAAGGGAGAGCAGAGGGCTGGAGAGCCTGACAGTAACCAAGGGCCACCACAGAGCACCCACAGGGACAGATTACAGGGGAGCACTAAGGTTTAAAGCAAGCAGGAGGAATGGTCCCTGTCCCACCAGGCCCCTACTGCCATGGAAAAATATCAGTCTCTGCCAAACCCCACACAGGCAGCCCAGCCCTGGACCATCAGTGGGAAAACACAGTGGGAAGGATTTGTGTCTGTCCTTTGCTTGTAATGGATCAAAAACGGGGGATGGCTTCGGTGACACACCCAGCAAAGGGGAATAAAGAATACGCTCCTGGCCAAAGCAGAGTCCTTTAGTGACACCAAAGTGCTACCTGGCTTGCAAACTTAAAAAACCCAACACAAACAAACTTCTAAGAAAAATAAAGCAAGGACAAGCTCTCTTCACTGCGTCATTTTAATTGCATCAACACCCAGAAATACACATGCCAAGAGCCACCCATCCAAGAGAGCATCCTTCCATGGTGGGTCTTACTTTCACACTCCTTTCACTCAAAAATAAAAAAAGAAGAAAATAAAAGAAAAAAAGGAAAAAATATATAATTATAATTGCACTGGTTGATGTACATAGTCTTCCCTTTTCACACGTTGGTGGGTTCTGCTGGAACAGGAGGGTGAAGCCCCAGCGCGTGCCCGGTGTGGCCACAGCAGCTCCCCAGGAAACCGAAGAGTTGTACAAAACAGTAAGAAGATTTTTCTTACAAACTGCAGTGTTTATTGGTTGGTTTTTTTGGTTGGATTTTTTTTTTTTTTTTATGTTTTCTTGTAAGTTTCAAAACTAGGTTTTGGGTCACTAATGGCTTGTATCTTTTATCTACAGTAAATTTAGCATAAATTTTTATCTTTAGGAATGTGTAAGGCATTTTGGTAAGTTAACTGTAAGGTCCAGGGTGAAGACTTGTCAAACTGAAGTCCCTTCCTTTGAACTGTCCTCTTTCCCCTGGAGAACAAAAAAAGAAGTGTGTTACTCTGCTGGGCCTCACCCTTATTCTCATGGCAGCTCAAGGCCCAAAGCATTTCACAGATGGGCCATGTCCTGCCTGTGGGGCAGGGAGGACCTTGACCACCATCTCATGTGGTCTCAGGATTTCCCAAAAGCCACCCAAATGGTTTCTGGCCTGTGGACCACTGTGCCTGCACTACTGAACTGCCTGCTGCACACTGCCCCAGGGCCTCCACCAGCATCAAGGGGAGGGACATGGCCACCACCAGTACCGTTTCCTGAAGCTGTTCTTTCAACTTCTTCACCATTTCTCTCTCTTTGGCCAGTTGGTCCTGGGTAACCTTCAGTAGCTCCTGCAGTTTGGTTGCTGCCTGGCCCAGGTCCTTTGTTAATTTTTTTTCTTTTTCAAGTCTTTCCTACATAGCAGTCAAAAGAAGGCACGTGCCTGAGCCTCCCTTTGCCACCTGGTGACCTTCACCCCTTCACAACACCTCAGGCCCCCTCAGGACTGCATCAAGCTGTCTCAATGACCACAGGCCAGGGGAACACCCAGTTCCCCCCTCAACAGGGACAACAGGCACCCCCCCAAAGCTCTCTCTGGCTCCCTGGAGATGCCCTGGGCTAGGTCTGGATGGTTTCCCAATGCATGAAAAGCCCAGCCTTTGAGTGTTTGCTCAGGACATGACACTGATCTCATCCTGCAGGGATGCAGTGGCTGTGGCCCTGCTGTCCTTTAGCCAGAGCAGAGCTCTCAGCCCTCTCCTGCAGGATAACCATGGGCCTCGCTCCCCAATCCTCAGAAATGATAAATCATACTCGTAGTCCTGCTCAGACCTGACTTTCACTGTTGTGGCACAGCCAACTCACCTTGAGGTGCTGGGTCTCCTCCTTGTCTGAAGCTGCTGCATGTTCAGCTAGTCTCAGCTTTTCCAGCTCTGCCTGCAAGCTGCGTGCTAAGCTCTGGGCCTGGAAAGGGACACTTAGTAAGGGCAGAAGCCAACGGTGCCGGCATCTCCCACACATCCTGCTCCAGCCATCCCCGAATGCCGGCTGGGTGTGTCCTGCTGAAGAGCTGGGTGGTACTGACACACAAAGCATTGCTTGTGCTGATCCAGCTTCCACCAGGGAGATGGCATTTCCTGCTTGGAGCAGCGGGAAACCCAGCTAAAGCCCATAACCCTCAAAGGAAAAAGCTGGCACAAGACATGGGGGGACTGGGAGAGCTGAATTTGAGGGGCCAGTGATGCCACATGGCTTTAGCACAGCTGCTGTAAGAAGTCCTTCAGACGCAGGAGGGAACGTCTCACAGTGATGTCTGAGGTGTGGACAGTGATGGGAAAAAGCCTTCAGATTAATTCTTCAAATTATTTCTTGGGCTTCATTAGCAGCCAAGAACCCAGGAAGGCTTTGCAAACCCTGGTATCCTCCTCCCCCACACCCACCTCCTCCAGCTCCCGTGCCAGCTTTTGCCGCAGCATTTGCTCCTTCTCTGCCAGCGTTTCGTTCTGCTCCAGCTGGGTTTTCAACTGTGTTGAGAAGAGGGGAAAACACCCAGAAATAAAATTTTAAAAAGACTCAAGAAATGAGCTAGCAGGGACATCACCAAAACACCTGGGCTGGACAGAAGAAATAAGAACAGAAGCTTTCCCCATGGCACCAAAGGGCAGTAGGTACCATCATCCCTCCCCTCTTGGGGATTCCTGATGGCGAGCCTGGGGCCTGGCTTAGCACTGCCCAATTTTGCTTGCTCCTCAGCACCAGCTGGGATGTGGGATGAGAGGCATCCCATAGAGAAAGATGTGTCTGGCAGGCCCCCATGACTGGGAGAAGGTTCCACAGTTAACAGGATTAAAGGAGAAAGAGCCCTGCCACTGGTGAGAGGTGTCAGCCTGGAAGGGAACAGCTGCTGCTAATGCCCTCAGCCCAGCTCCAGCAAGATTTATGAAGCCTCTGTAATCCTCATCCTCCCAGGCTGGGAAGGGATCCGGGCACAGCTCTGTCAGGGTGTAGTCCCCTTCCTCTGAGGAGACTCTGACCCCACAGGGCAGTGTCACACAGCAGTGCTGGCCCAAGGGCTCGCTGCATGTCCTGCCTGCATCCCCCAAAGCTTGCCAGCCTGATGCCAGGACAGAGGGCTCCCAAGGGGAACAGCCTGGTGAAAGCCACCTGCTTTGTTCCCTAAGGGAACAGGACATGTGGTTAATGGGGGGTGCTGGGCTGGCTCCCCCCAGCACAGGATGGGACACAACACAGCTGTGGCAGCCCTGAGCAGGGTCGTGTGTAGTTCTCCATGCAGTGAAAGATGGTGACACAGGACATGGGACACGGTTAAGGGTCAGAGCATCCCCAGGAGTGGTCTCAGCAGCCTAACCTCGAGGGGTGCAGGCTCACTTGGCTCAGCCTCTAACCCCACTACTTCCTCCTGTACGTGGCTCTTTGCCTCACTCAGCTGCTGCCTGACCTGAGGGATGAGCAGCAAGCCTGGCTCAGTGACACATCCCTTTGCCACAGCCTTCACATGACCCCCAGGAGCCTACAGATAAAGCCTGACACTTTTTGGCTTGCACACGAGCTGGAACGCTTGGAAAGCCAGCTCAGTTTCTGCCAGAGCAGGACAGTGGTATCTAACCTGGGCAGCTGGAGGTTCAGCAGCTCCCACGGGTGCAGAGCAAATACTCCTACCTCATCTGCTCAGAGATGGAGGGAGGGAGAGAGGGAGACCCAAACGCCCCAGGGATGATGTTGTGGTGACAAGTGTCCACTGATGGGGCAGCTGTTTTTCCTGCTACACACCAGCTTGAGAAGCCTTGCTGCTCTCCCTTCCTTCCCAGCCCCATCACAGGAGGAAAGACAGGCAAACAAAAATCTCCTCCTGGGTCCCAGCAATCTCCTCTGAACGTGTGGTCCCCTGCAGCACCAGGTCTGCCCATGCAATGGCTGTGCCTTCCTGCCCTCCCTCAGCCCACAGGAAGGGTGTTGGCCCCACAGCTGCTCTGCAAACCAGCCCCAAGGACCCAGCAGGGCAAGTCCCAGGGTCCCTCCTTACCAGGGCCAGCTCCTTGCTCTGCTTCTGCGTTTCAGTCTTTGCTGCCTCCAGCTGCTCCTGGGACTCTGACAAGAGCTGCCTCAACTGCCAACGAGGAAAAGAAAGGGAAAAAAAACAAAAAAAAACCTCCTTTTATGCACTTGGCTTTGGAACTCTTTGGCCCAAAGCAGATTTTTTATGATGCAATGTCTTCCCAATGAGGTCAGGGTGTCATCACATGCTGACCTGCCTGCTGATGACTGCTCAAGCAGAGCCAGCCATGGGACAGGTCTGTCTCACCTGAGCCACAGAAACCACACAGGCCACCCAGGACCAGGGCACAGCACTTCCATAGAGATCTCCCTGACCCATCACCTTGCCCATGACTCTTGGCTTTAGGAGTCTACAACCCAGACTGGAGCAACCATCTCCATCTGTTTTCTCCTCCTTTGCAAAGCTGCAGATCCCTGGGGCACTTCCCAGATGCCCAGGGCACTCCTCAAATCCTCAAAACGTGCATGGGTGCAGAGTCAGGGTTAGAAGAAGGCAGCAGCCTCCACACTTACAGCTCCAACTTCTTTTGTGTAGTTCTGGCGCTCGGAGCTGGCTGTCTCCAAGTGATTTTCCAGTTGTGTTTCCAGAAGAGAGGTGTATTCCTTTAGCTGCATTAAAAGAGAAGAAAGCAGGAGGGGCTTGATTGAGGTCAAACACATCCAAAACATCCTATGGTTAAAGTCTGCCCTCCCCAAGGCAAGTCAGGAGATGGGGCCTGACTCAACCCAAGCACAGTGTGCGCTTCTCTGGCGCCTGTGCAGAGACCTCCCCTCCCCACAAAACCTCACCTGATCTGTGCTCTGCAGATCTGCTTTCAACTTCTCCACCATGCCTTCCAGGGATTTCAGCTGCAGGTGTGACTGAAGCAGAAAGTATCAGAAAAGGACATTGAGCACCTTTAGCTCAATCAAAAACTTACTGTTGTTTGACTCCCACCTTTCCCACTTTATCCTGTAGCCATCAGGAAGAGGTCTGACACCCAAGGGGAGCTCCACAGAGGAGCTCGCCTTCCCAGGGAGGACAGGTCTAACACACACAGGCCACAAATGGTGGAGCAAGGCAACAGTTCTTGCCTGCAGCGTTTCAGGTGGCTGCAGTCAAGTTTCAACACTCAAGAAACCAGCACCAGACTCAGCACAAGCTTCCTGCTGAAAGCACTTTTTGGTTTGGAAGCAGCAATTTTCCAGTGAGGTGGCAGGGACTTCATTACTGAGAGAGGCCAAGCTGCCAGAAAAAGCACTTAAACCCAGGCTGGTTTTTGAAAAGGACTCTGCAGATGCTTAGGTTTTTGGAAAGGAGGGATTCACCTCCTCTCCACCAAGAGGCAGAATTGCTCTGGGAGCTGCCCTAGGCACCAGACATTCTTCCCATCACGAACACCACCAGTGGCCACGTCACGCTGTGCAATCCTACACCAGCCCTCAGCAGTGCTGGTGCTGCAGGAGCCAACAGTGGGCTGAGAAATCAAACATCTCTTGTACAACAGCTTCCTCCACCTCCCTGCAGTCCCAGTTAACTCCAAAACCCCATGTGACGGATGGGGAGCAGCCAGACCATGGAAAATAGTTCAATTTCAGTTCTGCATTCAAGAGGACTGATTCTACATGAGGTGGGCTTTTTGTCAGCTGGCTTGGTGACAGAAGGGGTAGATTTGGGGAGAAAAGAAAGTTCCTGTGTCTCAGTGTTCACAGCTGGCAGGAACACTAAGGGCCACCAAACAATTTATAGCAAACAGATCCCCTTCTCCTGGAAGTCTCCAGGAGCACCAAACCCAGGTGTGTCACCAACACGCACCTTTTGGAGCTCCTCTTCAGAGGCTGTCAGCTTTGCCTTCCACACCTGCTCCTCTTCCTCCACGCTCTTCTGCAGGTTTCGCAGCATCCCTTCCTGTGGGCAAAGCCTCAGCTGAGCCCAAACCTCCTCCAGCCCCACACAGCTGAGCACTGTAAGGGCTGGAAGCTTTGGCATACTCAAAGCCTCTCCAAGGATTTGGGCCAGACCACAGGTGACACAATTAGAAACAGGTGGGGGGCTGGGGGCTCCTAATCCCTATTCTGGCTCAACCAACCCAGTCATCAGAGCCTTGCTGTGTCTCATCCCATCACCACCAGCAAGGTTTCCAACACATTTAGGCTGAAGAAGAGCTCTAGAAATTCACCTTTATCCTGTTCCTCTGTCTCACTGACAAATACTCTACCACAGGGCAGTGCCTCAACACACCAAGGGATGCCCACCCTGAGCTCATGGGCAGCCTGGGCTGACAGGAGACCTCTCCAGAGGGATTTCCAGTGGGAAGACAATACAGTGCAAAGGGCAGGAGCTTACTGTCTCTGCGAGGATCGTTCTGTACTGCTCACATTCTGCTTGTAAAGTGCTTTGTGCTTCCTCTGCCTCTTTTAATTTAAGAGCTGAATCCTAAAAGGAGAGGTAAGGGAAGGAGAGAGAGATAAGAAGAAGAAACATGTGACCCTCCAGCACACCCTCACCCTCCACTTTCCAGCCTTCACTTACTGGTGGCTCTGTTGTGATCATCTGCTGCTTTAACACACCCACAGTCTTCTCCTTAAACTCCTGTAGCCACGTGTCATAGTCCTGAGTTTGGAAAAAAGAGAACAAGGAAGAAGGAGGATGCTTAGACATCTCTGCTTCACATGTGGAGGAGGCTGTGGGGGGGGTCTGAGGAAGCCTGTCCCACCTGCTCCGAGGACAAGGTGACTCCGGGGAGGGCAGAGAGCAGCGTCTGCTTGGTTCGTGTCTGGAGCGCGTCCAGCTGCTGGGCCAGCTCTTCCTGAAAGAGGGACAAACTGCAATGGATGGAGGCCTTGGGCACCTGCTGGCCAGCCTGACAACACTGGTCCTGCTTTTCTGTGCCTACAGGGCTGGGGAAACCAGCCAACACAGCAAACTGCTGGTGCTCAGAACCACAAAAACATCACTTCCAGTTCAACTATCTCCCTGGTTCCCCAACCATGACCAGTACCAGCACTGCCCTCAAGAAAAATTTTGGAGAAGCTTGCGGAAGATTTGGGCCAGCACTGTTCCTAAGCAGGCAGGCAGCCCAGGGCAGGCCTCCCTGGTGGTTTGGGGAAGCTGAATGTTTCCCTTCCAACACCAGGGAAATGCCAGGCTCACCTTTGCTTTTGTAGCAGCAAGCAGTTTCTCCTCACACGCCTTCTCCACTGTGGTCAGTGCTTCCATTGCCTTCCAGTTCTTTTTCCGAAGGTCCTGTGGAGACCACACAGAGAAGGCAATAAGCCACACGCCATGCCAAGGGCCACCAAGCTGCTTGCTGGCACTGCAGGGGATTTCAAAGCCTCTGCTCAGGGAACTGAGTTTGGTCAGGAGTGTTCCATCTCATGCCCACACTCATTCCTTTCTCTGTATCTTTCCAGTGGCTCCACACACCCCCATTGCTCTGGCAGTGCCCTGGATGGGGCAGGAGCTCCAGAAGTATGCTCAGGATGCCTGCAGAGGACACAGGCCAAGAGCAGGGATGCAAGGTGGCCTCCACACAAGTGACACAACATTCCAGTAGGGGGATGAGGAGCAGGAAGGTGTGAAGGAGCCTTCTCAGAGATTGCCTTGGCCCTACCAGTGTAGGATCTCTCTGGCTTAGCAGGTCCTAAACCTTCTGAGAGAACAAGGGACAGACATGTCACCTCAGGCAGCCCACCAGCTCCAGCTGCACAGCCTGCCAGGGGTATTCCTGCTCTCTGGCAGATGAGGCAATGCCCCCAGGGCTGGAAGAGCCTCTGACCACACCCTGGAGCCATCAGTAGGTGACCACGAACTCACTTACGTCGTTTTTCACCTGCTGTTGCTCCACTGCCTCCCGAAGCTGTGTGGCTTCCCTTTCCAAGGCTGAGAGCTGGTTTGTCTTCTCCTGGAGTCTGGAAGGGCAGGATGCAGGAGTGAGCCTGAGCAGTCACCTCCCTCACGGGCAGCAAGCTCCCGAGACAGAGACCACAGCCCTTCCTATCCTGGTCTGCTCTGGGATCTACACACAGCAGGAGGAAGAGGGAGCAGGACTAAAAACCACAGCCATGGCAATATTGGAGTGGGATCTGGTTTTTCTACCCTCTTACCAGCAATAAAAAGCAATCAAGTAACTGGCTGGCTGTACACACACAAAAAGGGGAAGAAGCAACCTGACACAAAGGCCAGGAATTCTGGCTTGCACAGCTGGGACTGCTCATTAGGCTGAGAGAGCCCACAGCTCTGTATTTTGGAAGTATCATCCCACTATCTTGAGCAACCCTAAATCAGGGCTGCCAAATAGCAGAAAGCTGCAGGTTCCCTCCCCACCCTCAGATCCCCCTGAAGGGACCCTCTGTTTGAGCAAACCAAGGTTCAGGTCCTTGAGAAGAACTACACAAGTCTCTTGGGGTCTCAGGACAACTCAACAGCTGTTTTCCTTTAGAGGGATGCTGGATGCAACAGAGGGTTGCTGGCAATGAGGGCATCTGAGAAATCTTCCCCCTCCATGCAGAGTCTGGGCCTTCTTGGAGGTGCCCAGCACACAGACAAGGAACAACAGGCAGGACTCATGACAAGGGAACGCCAGTTAAAAGCCAGGAAACCTTTCTGTGCTAGAAGGTGGGGGAAGAGGTTATCACACACTGGAACAGGGACCCAGAGTGGTGGTGAATCTCCATCCCTGGAGATACCTGGAAACATCTTAAAAAACTTCCTCTGGTTGGCCCAGCCTTGAGCAGGGACTTGGACCAGAGACATCCCAGACCCAGCACCAGCACAAGCAGAACCTCCTGTTCTGCAGGAGTGGTCAGACTCCATGTGCCTGCTAGCAGTTCAGTTTTACTTCAGAATGGACTGTCTGATATACGGGGCCAGAAACAGAGCAAATTAGCATTTTAAACAGCACTGCTGGCCAGGATTGACCTTCACTTCCCAGCTGGGCAGCCCCAAGCCTGCCTGGAAGGCAGGAAGCCCTCAGCCACAGGCTCAGGGATCAAGGAAGCCTGGGACACATGGACAGAAAGCTGGAGATGCCACTGCAAGATGTGCACCTGGACCCACCTTGACTGCAACTGCTTCATTTCTGCTTCATTGGCTGCCTGGAAGAGAGTAAGCACTTTGATTACCTACCCCAGGCATGTGATATGGGTCAGCCCTTTCTGTGGCATCCCAGAGCAAAGATAACTCAGGGACTGTGTACACAGGGTCACCCACTCCCCTCCTCCCACCCCAATTAAACCAGCACACAACCTGCAGGTCTCTGTCTTTTTCTGCCTCCCGCATCTGGCCTGCCTCCAGCAGGGCTTCGATGGACTTGATCCTCTCCAGGAGCTTTGTATTCTCCGAGCTGGCATCCTGCAGTTTCCCTTTCACACTGTCCAACTCCAGCAGCTTACTTTTAACCTCTGCCTCGGAGCTCAGCAGCTTGCCTTGCAGTTCTGTTGGAGGGAAGGGTGACAAACACTTCAGTGCAGGTGCAAACAAACCTGGAGACTCCCCATCCTGCTCTGTCCACACAGGATCTTAGCCAAAGAAGCCTTGGCCATGGATGCATTGAGGAGGCAAAGGGCAGGCAGGGATGCAGGACAGCACAGGAGAGAGGCATTGGAGTAACATCCTGGGACAGAACCACGGACCAGCCCCTGCCTTGCTCACACCAACACCAGGCAGCCTAACTCATCCCTGGATCTACTTGTCCTGCCCCAGCTGGCTCCTCCAAGCTCTTAAAATCTGCAGTCTGCCCTACAGCCCTCCCCATGCTGATCCCAGTTCCTCACCAGCAATGCTCTGCTGCTGCCCTTTGGTCTTCTCTGCATCTGCCAACAGGCTCTTGTAGCTGCTTTGGGTTTTGCGGAGCTCGTCGCTGACCTCATCCAGCCTCTTCTGCAGCATCACCTCTGCCTCCCGTTGGTAAGCCTGCATGGCAGGAAGAGAAGGTTTCCTGCAGCGTGACAGACACCCCAGCCAGTTTGAAGCAAAGCCTCACGTGCCACATAATCTTATTTTTAAGATGTGTTTTGGTGGACTGAAGTCATCCTCCCACCAGGCTCCCCCTGAGCACAAAGCATCCTGCCTTGTGCTCACATTTTATCCTGTGCCAGCCCTCACACTGGGAAGCAGACAATACCCAAATGTCTCGGTCCTGGGCCAATTCCATGGCCAACTTCCCCTCTGGAGAGCTCTGAGAAACCTCTTAGAGCCCTGGTTCAAACCACCCCAGCCCAGCAGGAAGAGGTGCTGGCACGAGGCTTTGCAGAACAGAGACACCCAAACACGTTTCCACAAGTGGAGGAATTTTCTGTGCCGTTTCAGCCAGGGAATACTTTTTATTTTCCACCACAGAAAGCAGCAAGGAACAGGCCTGGCCAGGGCAGGCGTTTTGAGGGGGAAGGCAAAGGAGGAGGAGGAGGAGTTGCAGCTTTACAGGTACAAGTCGTATCCTTGAAGAGGGAGAAAAATTGTTTTGCATGGCTGGGACAGGAAACAGTAAACCAGCAGGCCTATCTCTGTCCAAGGGATGCTTTCAGCACCACCAGGAAAGCAGGTCTGCTCTGGTTTTTGAGGATTTGACTCAATATCCTCAGCTCAGGGCTCCAGGTGTTACTGTGGAACATATTCTCCCTAACACCTTAAGCACATCCCTGACTTTAGAGTATTCCAGCTATTGTGATTTATTTAATTAGCATTAAGGTGTGCAGCAAGTTAACAGCCTTGGAGTTCTCCCAAAAGTATGTCTAGGAGCTCCTGCTTTGAGCCAGGGAAGCAAGCTCCTGCCCTCACACCAGCTGTGTGCTCACATCACCCTCCTTGCTCCTCACCTGTAATAGCAGCAGGAGCCAAATGCAGCCCACCCAAAAGAGAGACACATCCTCAAGCACACAAAAAATTCAGAGCAAGGATATGGAAGGCCCCTTGCTCTAGGCACTCCTCTACAGAACTATTTTGGCACGTGCAGATAAAGTTCTCCTCCACCACAGTCCCTTCTTGAAGAGGCCAGAGCAATCCAGAGAACACAGCAGATTCCTGAAGGACATCCCTCACTTTGTCTACTACACCAGGATTAATGCTCCCAGCACAGAGCTTAGCAACATCCCAGAAGGATCCCAGCAGGAGCACTGTCAGCATCCCAAGAAGATGTTCCTGTCTGTGTGAATACAGCCTGCCTGCCAGTAACAGACCTCTGGGTGCTCAGAGCCTCTGCTTGGGAGGTGTCCTTTCAACACCCCTAAAAACCCCAAACCCAGCCACTCCCTACTGGCAACCAAAAAAGCCACAAGCTCCACCTCCTACACCAGGGAGAGAGAGCAACAAGCTTAAAACCATCTGAGTTTGAGAGAGAGAGTGAGAGCACCTGCAGAGGAATGGCTTCAACCAGGGCATCCTGCTCCCTGGGCTCTGATGGTGATGCTACACAAGGGGCACAAGGGAATGTGACATGCTAATGGAGGGGAGAGCAATTAGGAAGCCTGCCAGGCAGCTTCCTTCCCAGCCAGGGACATTCATCTCCCTCCTAGCCCTTCCCATGGCCAAGTGCATGGATCCCCTGCCATTTAGCCACCCATCTCTGCAAGGGGAGAGGCTTTGCCGGTGCCTGCCTGACCTGCAGCTGCTCGATTCGCTTCTCCAAAGCCGCTGCTTTGATCTCCCAGCTCTTCCTCTGCTGCTCCTCTTGCTGCAGCACCTCTGACTTCTCAGACAGCTCTTTCATCAGCTTGTTGCACTCCTGCCTCAACTTGGCCAGCTCAGCATTTTGCCTGCAGCAACAGAAGCAAGGTTACTTCAGCCCACAGAACAGCCAAACCTCTCTGGTGTTGGTTGGGGGGAAACACATCCTCCTGTGGGCCTGATACAGGACTTGAAATGGTGAACTTTGTTTGCCTGTTTCTAGGACACTCCTGGTCCTTCAGGGAGGGGATGGAAAGAGCCAACAAAACACTTTGAAAAAGTCCTGTTTCAGTCACAGGAGACATTCCTTTCTTATGAAGTAGAGAACACATGGCTCTGTGCTCCCAGACACAAGAGGAAGCACTACAACAGCTGGAGTCCACTCTGTAATTATTTGCCTGCTGTTAATCACCAGTCATTTCAGACTGTCTATAAAAAGGAGTGTGAAATTCTTCCACCTAGCTCCTATTTGTTCTGCACACACTGGGCTGGGCTCTGTTCTCTGCAGCATCACTCCCATCAAAAAGCCAGCTGCATGTCTTCTCAAGTTTGAAACTATGAGCTCCCCTAGGGGGGGGAAAAACACCACAGTGCCTTCTGATCCCCTCTCCCTCCTCCACTGCCTGTTGGTTCTGGCATCAGCACAGGTGACCCCAAAGGAGAGAGGGATTCCCTGCCCTTTCACTTGGGAAGAACATCCTTGTTTCTCCTGGTGCACCCCCAGAAGCCATTTGGCAAGCTCTTTCTCCCCCACTCCTTCCTCTTCCTCCAGCTATTTGGGGTGTCTGTAGAAGTACCTTTGGGAAAGGGGGTGGCCAAGCCAAGGTCTGCCAGAGGGCAGCCCCAGGCTCTGCCCCTCCTCCCAGCCTTACTTGCTTTCCATCTGGCTGGTAGCCTGGTTGAGGGCATCCCTCAGGATGGAGTTCTCCTGCTGCAGGCGAGCCAGCTGCGTGTTGGGACCGTTCTCCAGCTGTTCCTGCAGAGTTCGGATCTAGAGGAGCCCAAGAGGGGTTAATGCCACCACCAGCCCTTTTGCTACCCCTGTCTAAGCCCAGGATGAGCAGGAGTGTCTGGGGAGTGTCTGCTGATGCTGACAGCTCTCAGGGGTGTGACATCCCAGGAAGATGCTCCAACGTGGCTCTTCTCCAAAGAGGTTTGGAAGGAACTTAGAGGGGTTGGGGAGGTATTTGGGGAGTTTAGGGGGCAGCAAGTGGGTCTTAGAAGGGTGTAGGGGACCTGAAGGGGTTTGGGAGGGAATTTGGGGGAGTTTAAGAGGTATTTAGGGGGGGTCTTAAAGGGGTTTGGGGGGGAACTTGGGCACCCAGGAGCACCGCAGGGTCTCACCCCTCTCCGAGGCTCTCGCCCCCTCCCGCAGCTCAGCCTTCTCCAGAAGGTCATACATCTGCCACCAGCAGCCAGCTGGCAGAGGAAGGAGGCAGGTGCAGAGCACAACCTGGGGCTCACCTTGCCCTGGAGCTGCTGGGTCTCGCTGACATGGTCCTGGTAGCTGGCCTGCATCCGTGCCTGCACCGCCACAATCTCCCGCTCGCGGGCCAGCAGCTGCTCCTTCAGCTTGCCCTCCATGGCCACCGCCTTGGCCCGCTCAGCTGACAGCTCCTGCCAGGAAAGGAGGCCCCCAGTTAGTCCTCAGAGCACGTTTCCCCATTTTAAGAGGATGTGGCCTCCTAGCTCAGCAGACTACAAAGTTTAGCCCTTTCATTGCTGCCCCCACGCCCAGGTACATTCAGCACTTACATTTCCTCCTGCATTTTGTTTTGGGCTCTGTGGCCACTGGATGCCACTGTTGTTCCATGCTGGGCCAGCTAAGAGAAAGGAGTAAGACAGCCTGGAATTTTATTTTCCTCTCCCAGGATAAATAACATCACACAACGTTTGGGGAAAAGCAGAAAAAATTAAGCAGATGGACTTGACAGCCTCAAGTTCAGCATGGCGGGGATCTGTTCCACCTCCAACACCCAAAAAGAGGTGGAGGCAGGGGGCTGAGTCAGGGAAGGGCACTGTAAATAGGATCAGGTTCCTTCCTTATAAAGGCACCATCTCAGCTCAGTGGAGCTGAAATGAGGAAGGATTTGCTTTTCTTCCTGAAGAAGCTGCAGTCTCTTACAGAAAGGGTTTTCCCCTGCTTTTCCCATGGCTGTCAATGGGCACTAGCCTGTGGTTCTTTGGGCTGGCACCTCCCCAAACTGGAGCAGGCCCAAGTGAGGAGGGTAGAGGGGGATCTCCTCCCCCTTTTGGGAAGAAAACAGCCAACAGGTGAAGGGGTCCCAAGAGCCCCAACAGGGGGCTGAGATGTGGGGAGCAGGAGGCACATGGAGAGCCACCATGAGCAGAGGCCACACCGGGGGTGCCAGGAGGGCCACACAGGGCTTACCTTGCTCAGCTCCCGCAGTTTGTTCCTGGCAGCAGCTGCATCCTCCTGCTCGGCAGAGAGCTGCTTCTCCTTCTCCTCCAGCTGGCGTTTCAGGACAGCAACCGGGTCACCCTTCTGTGTGGCCTGCCAGCATGGGGTGGCACATCACGGGGGACCCTCAGGCCCATCCCCTCCACCCCACACACACGACATCCTGCCCTCTGCTCCAGGGGAAAATTCAGCTCCGTTCTCCAAGACACCCTCAGGGCCAGCCTGCCTGAAGATGGGGTGCCTTCCCTCCCCTTGCACTTCCTGAGGCTCAGCAGAGCCCTGGCAGAGCCCTACCGTGTGCCAGGTGTCCTGGATGATCCCAGCTTTCTCCGTCAGGATCTCGATGAGCTGCTGGGCCTCCCCCTCACTGAACACCATGCTGCTGACTGTGGACACCAGTGTCTTGTAGGGCAGGTACAGGGCCCCATCCGAATCCGTAGGTGCTAGGGAGGACAGAGCAGGGATTGGGACTTCTGGGGACAGCAGCAGAAATACTGTATCATCTCAGCTGGCTCCAACCCCACAGCTGCCATCCCAAACCATCATCCACCCAGATTTCCAGAGCCACAGTTGGTACCTCTCTGAATGAGAACAGCAGGAAAAGTGCTGGAGATGACACCACACACGTGCTCCTTGGGTCAGCTGCCAGCTCCGCCTGGCTCAACAACCGGTCCCAGCACCTGCCATCACACTCTATCAAAGTGAGGGATTCTCAGCAGGAGCTGGGACAGCTTTGCCAGTGCCAGGGGGCTCAGACATTTTGTGCATCAGAAGCGGGACCACACCAAAATACAACCTTGCTGAAGGACGTCACCCCATGTGGCAGTGCCGGTGACAGCAAGATCATCTTCCACCTTTCACCGGCCAAAGTTGTTCCAGCTCTTTGCTAAGGGAGCAACATGACTCCAACCCTTCCCCTGCTAACCTGGAAAAGCCAGGGAGCACCAGGGACCATGATGCTGTTGTAGGACCTCAGTGCACGTGGTCACGATACACAGAGGGTGGCAGGCAGTGGTTTAGGGGTTCCTGCATGTATCTATGGCCCAGTGGGCTCATTTTCCTAGAAAATTACAGAAGGAAAAGCAGTTTGGAGTCCAGTAGCTCCAGAGCCCCTGAAGTCATTAACATCAGAGTCTCTTGAATACTTTGAAAATACTTTGAAAGCTTTGGATGCCCCAAGCAGCAAGGTTCAAAGGAGGAGGAGGAGGAGGAGGTGCTGCAGGTCCTGGAGCAGAGATTCTCCTCTAGAGAATGGACCCCATGCTGGAACAGGTTCCTTCAGAACAGGTTCCTCCCAAAGAACTGCAGCCCATGGAAGGCCCCACAGTGGAGCAGGGGAAAGGTGTGAGGAGGAAAGAGCTCATTCAGAGAGTGGTTGTAACAAACTGACCACAGTCCCCATCCTCCAGCACCACTCAGGGATGGGGGGTAGAGGAGTCAGGAGGGAAGGAGTGAAGCTGAGCCTGGGAATAAGGGCAGGGAGGAAGGCGTTGTTTCAATTTCTAAAAAAATCTCTGTTTCTCATCTATTTTAATGGGGAATAAATTAGTTTTCCCCAGGTGGAGTCTGTTTGGCCAGTGACAGTAACTGCTAAGTGATCTCTGGTAGATCCATTTGGGATGGCAGTGCCAAGCCCTGGCAGCAGCCGAGTCTGTGTCCGCAGCCACGGCCCTTCCCAGCAGCACAGCCAGGGCAGCTCCACCCCCGTGTGCAGCCAGGGCCCGAGGCTTGGCTCACCCTGGACTCATGCTGGCAACTGCAGGGCTGCAGGACAGCGCATGGCATCATCCCCTGGCTCAGTCCTGCGGAGTGCAGGGACACACCAAGCGGAATTCCGCCCTTCTCCAGGTGGAGTTGCGGGAGAAAAACACCCCGAGCCATTCCTGTCAGTTTTGCCATCTGTTTCAGTGCTGTGGACATGTTCTTGAACACTTTGAACACCCATTTCTATCTGCCACAGAATAATTTGCTCCTTTGCATTTGAGGAGGAGAGACCACAGCTGCTCAAAACACACTGGTCAAACTGCAGATGGCTTCAGGGCACAAATCCTACCAAGAGATTTCCCTGGCAAAATCCCACAGGAGCAGCTAAGACATCACTCTTTGCTTTCAGGACATGCAGGACTGGCCCATCATACCCAAAGGAATTTAAGTTTGGAGCACCCAAAAACCTCCCAACCTAACAAATGCTAAAAGTTCATCTCCCAGCCACATTCCCTCAGCTGTTACAGCTTGGATTTAGGGCCATGCTTTTCACACGGGTGCACACAACAAACCAGCCACCTCCACTTTCCTCAACACCACCCCTGCAATGCCCTCCAGGAGCAGCTTCTCCAATCGTTCCAAACCCCATCCCCGTGTGGAGATGGCCTCCAGTAAAATCCTTCCCTCAGAAGGGCAGATTCAAGGAGTTTAACCCATCCTTGAAACCCAGCAGCTGCAAACGCCCTGCTGAGTGGCAGGCCCTCTTCCAAATCGTGGGTGTGGAAACTGCCAGGCTGCACAGCAGGTCTGGATGTGCTGCAGAAGGGCAGCAAGAAGGGTTGTCTTTTAGTTTGGTGGGTTGGGGATTTTTTAGGTAAAGAAAGAAAGAAATGCACATCACATGACATCTTTGAGAACACCTGAGAGATTTCTCCCACGTGTCCACATGGGAACCCTCCCACAGGTCTGAAAGCACTCACAATTTTTAGTGCCTGTAATTATCACTTAACCAAAAATAAATCCCAAACTGCTCCCACTGGTACAATGAGAGGCAAGAATCCAGCCAGAAAGCTGATTTTCCCCTCCCTACATCTTTTAATACTCTGCAGAGTTCAGGACCACCTGACCTCTTCTGCCTCTTGAATCAATCAAGCGAGGCACGACTGATGATGGGCAAGTTTTCCCTTCAGTGTGAGAGACCCAAAATCACTTCCCTCTAATTACTCTGTGATCAATCACCTGCAGTATAAAACTCCATCAAACCTTTCTGCTTGAAGAATCCTTTGTCACCTCCACCAAAGGAGGAGGAAAGGCTAGAAGTGACCCAGCTCCATGCAGAAGTGTGGGAGAGCTCCTCTGCACTTTCAACAGTCAGGGTTCTATGGGGAAAACACCTCATCCTGGCTTCCCACCCAGATGTGCAGCTCCCTGTCCCTCCCTCTCCCAGGACAGGGACATGCACCACTCATTCATTCCCATGTGCAGATCCCACAACACAACAGCAAATCCCAGAGGAACCTGCAACTCTCCAACGCCCGTGTGCTGGACCAAAGGGATATAGGCAGAGGAATTTGGCCTTACCTGGCTCGCTCTTCTTCTTGGATGCAGCCTTTTTCTTGGCAGGCCCATCATGCTTCTGATCCTCCTGGGCTGGAAGAGCCTCGGTTTTCTTGACGGTGACAGAGCTGATGACCGGAGCACTTTGCTGAGTGCCAACTGGGGGCACTGCCACAACAGGAACCTCCTTAGGGGCCACCTCCCGCACGGGAGAACTTTTGGGGACGCTGACCGGGGGTGGAGCCAACACCGGGCTAGGAGCAGGCTCCACCTTTGCCACCTTCTTCTCCTTCTTCCTCTTCTCCTTAGGTGATGGAACAGGTTTCTCCTTTTCCTGGGGGACAACTGCCACCGCTGCAATTGGAGTCTCAACTGTCACAGGCTCAGGCACCACAGCGGGCTCAGGAACCACCTCCTTGGGAGGGTCCGTCACTTCCTGAGTAAGCTGCTGCTCTGGGATCTTCCCATTCGGTTTCTCTTCCTTTTTCTTCGCTTTTCCTTTTTTCTCAACTGGTTTCTCCTTCTTCTTTTTCTCTAATTTCTGCTGCTGGGCCTTCTCAAGCTCCTTGCGTTGCTTGGCCAAGGCTTCCTCGTAAGACGTCTCCTTCATGGAGAAGGTGGACACCAGGAAGATGCCGATGGCTGAGATCACCATGAAGCCTCCAAAGACCATAACACCCAGCGTCTGAGGGTCGTACACATCCATCCTGCCTCACTCCTCTGTGCCTGCAAGACACCAGGGCAACAGTTAGGGTAGGGGCAGGAGGGGAGGAAAGAAATGCAATGGCTTTTCTGAGCAGTATCTTCATGTGGGCATCTGTGCCTTCCCATGGCACCATGCACTGGGAAGAGGAACATTCCACATTCACAGGGCTCAGGCTGACCTGCCTGCACACCCACAAATTTGAGCTCCTCTGCTACAATGCCCATGCACAGCGGTCCAGTTGTACCTCAGTGACTCAATTTCATCTCCAGAAGAACCAAAGAGAAGGAATTTATAAACAGGGATGCAATCAAGAGACAGCCACAAGCCTCATTCTATGTCCAGTGGGGTGGTTCTGTATGACCCTAAGCCATACCTGCAGCAGTAAGACAGCCCACTTCCAGACTGCTGGGAGCAGGTTGGCCAAAATCTGGGCTTTCCCTGGAGCACCTGGCTTTTTCACTGCACCCAGATGCATATCCATGTGTCATCTTTGGAATAAAATATCCCCCTGGGAGGAGAAAGCTTTGCAGCAGCCCTTCCCTCTTCCCTTTGCCAGCTGTACACTGCTGAGCACTTGCCTGCTCTGAGGTCTGGCAAACAGGGTTCAGCCACACCTGGGGAGAGATGCTATCTCCACTCCTCTTAATGGCTATTTGAACCCATCCTGGTTTCAAAGCCAATTTCTGCTGGCCCATCCACCAGGGCATCACTTCCACGTGGCTCTGAGGTGGCTGACAATCCCCCAGAGCTGCTGGTGTCAGGCAGTAAATCTGGGAAGGGACACTTTCCAGGAGTTGCCATGGCTGTGGTTCCTCATCACTGTTAATCAGAACAGAACAAGCAAAATGCAGAAAGTCCTCAGCTACCAGGAGTTCTCATCCCCCACACTTAACTGTTGACATTATCAAACTTCCTCTTTAAGGGGTTGTGGGTTGAGGAGGGAGGGGCTGGAAGGGGAGGAGGCAAAAATAAGAATAAAACTAAGGATATCAGCACCTTTTTCAAACCTCAGTGCTTGCAGGGAGACACCTCAGAGGCCCTTCCTTTGTAAGAGCTGGAGCAGCAAACTTCAGTCTGCAGCACAAAGCTGCTCAAGGTGGGGACAGTACAGTGAAAACTCATCTCCAGCACCCAAGCAGGGGGTGCAGAGCTGGGAGGAGCTGCAAATCTCCCACTGGAGATACTCAATCTGCCTGGGAAGGGATGTTCCGAGCAGCAGCCCAGCTCTCCCTGCCCACCTCTCCAGGCACCCCAGGTAAAGCAGCAGAGAGAGAAGCTGGCAGGCAGGAGGGCTCTCCATGCCAGCTGGAACCAGACAGCCCTGTCAGGGCCAATTTTCTACCCCAGGGCACGGCTGGAGATCCCAGCTGATACTACAGGCATCACTTACTACTATTTCACATCTACCCTGGCCATTTTGCACTTAAATGCCTTCATCCCACTCTATCCCAGCACATCTGGTGCCAAGTCATTGCCTCCTGACTAGGGAGCATTGCTTTGGGATGGTCCCAACCAGGACAGACAGATAATTCCTAACCCACAGGGTGAAAAGGACTGGAATTCCTCTCCCTGTCAGTAAATAAAAAGTAGGGGTGGAGAACACATACCCACTTTCTTGTGCTGGGTTTAAGGCTACACCAAAGCACCCAGGAGCTGTTTTAGGGCCAGAACAAAGTGACCTACATGCCTCACCCAGCAACCCCAACATATTTCTAGAAATAAGACCTTCTTGACCTCACAGCACCACAGTTTCAAATCTAGATAAAAATCTGCTGCTCCAGCTTGGGGCAAGGACATCCCCAAGTGCTAACAAATGCACTCCAACACCAGCTGGTACTGCCACCCTCAAAAGCAGCTCAATGAAGCCCACAGGGGATGGGAATGGGGGAAGAAATTCCAATCTCCACTCCGGAGGATGGATGAGAGGACAGAGACAGGGGTGGTGAGCTGGGTGAGATGGCAGTGCTGGATGTGGCATCACAGCACCAGAGCTGTGTGCCTACCCCACACCTCACCCCACAGGACTGTCCCCCCAGAAGCCCCTCCAGAGCCCCCATACCCTTCTCTCCCTCACAGAGAGCCTCACCCAGCCCCACGGGCTGCAATAAAAGCTGCCTGTACCTTGCCTCCTGCTCTAAAGCCAGGGTGAGATAAGGATGTAAATGAGCACTAAAGTCCTTCCTAGCAAAACAAAAGCAATATAGGAACAAAGCAGCTGAGAGCACTGAGGAGCTGTGGACCTGCAGAAGAGCCATGGCAGCTGCCAGAGCTCCTCCTGAAAGCAGCCGAGATGCTCAGAGAGGCCATCCAAGCTCCCACTGCTCAACCAGGGGAGCCCCACGCTGCTCCCAAGGACAGATGTGCCTGCAGAAAATCCACAGGCAGGAGTGAGAGGAGCCAGCCAGGAAGCAATCGCTGCCAGCAGAGCTCTCATGGCAAACCTTGGTCCTGTCCCAAGGCTCGTGCCCCGCAGCCCCGGTGCTGACTCCGAGGAGCGAGTTCTACCTGTAGGGTTCCTCCTGTGGTCGGGACTTGGCACGACCAGCCCAACAACTTGTTCAGGGAAGAGCCCATCTCTCCAGTGCTGCAGACAGCCACACACACTTAAACCAAGCCAGGCTGGCCTTGCCATTTGGGGGATAAGGAAAAGTCTTCCTACAGAAACTTCCTGTACAGAGATGCCAGAAGCATTTGTGCCACGGTGTTAGCACCCAGGAGAGAAGCTCTGCTTTGACATTTCCTGACTTTGCCACCTTTGCCCTTCCAAGGGCTGGAAGTTTTCTCTGGATTTGCACAGCAAGACACCATCCCCCTCACAAGCACATGTGCCCTTTGGCAGGAAAGCCCTCCATGCTTCCCACCTGGAAAATATCTTAGCGAGGACATGGCAGAACAGGGCACCAAAGGTAGTCTCACACTGACAGCCACGCTTTGCAGAGGCCCAAAAACTTCAGGATCCTCCCTTCTGTAGCTTCTGGTGCTCCACGGGACGTCACTCCTACGATGGCATTTTTCCATTGGCTTGGGAGAGGGTTGTGTGCCCAAGAGGTGGGTGGACACCAGCAGTTATCAGAATCCATGCTCAAAAAACTGAGTTCATATCCAACACTGAGCACACTGACTTCCATGAAGTTTCTGGAGCATCCTCCACTCCTCTCCCAGCCAAAACAGCAGGAATCATCTAATACCTCCATACACTAAGTCCTTCCCCAAAACAGCTTGTCCAAATAAAGCTTTTCCCCACCTTCAGAACAGGAATAAGATGGACAACTGGTATTTCACTTGGCCTTCTCACATAAAGGAGCTGGCTGAAATGGTGTGCTCTGACTCTTCCACTCCTGAGGCTTTTTCTTGTTATCCATCAAGCTTCCCAAAAGCCCAGATAACAGCCCAAGAGACCTGAACTCCCTCACCTCCCTGCATATGCAGCCACCCCTGTCTGACCTGAGCAAAAGTCCAACTCACCCTAAGGAAGCAGAACCAGAAAAGCACTCAGCCTTGCTGGTTTTTCAGCACTAAACAATTTCCAGGATGAACCAACCCACAGACACGTGACATGACAGCACCAGGGCCATGCTCTGTGTCTTGTGGTCGCATTTGTCACTGACAGCTGTGTCAAAAACCAGGCTGGAACCGTGCCACCTGCTCAGCCTGTCCTCCCTTCTGTGACCATACATGAAATCCATGGGAATTCAGCCTCTTCAAGACCCAGCCCTCCACCAACCCTGGTTTAAATCACCCAGGCCACACAACAGGCAGGCAGGGGCAATGGAAGAGTCAGGTTGTGCAGTAACTACAGAAACCTTATTTCTTTCCACAGCCAAAGGAAAATATGTTATTTCCTCCTGGTGTCAACTGGTGCTGCAGACAGGAAAAGATGCTCTTTGCAAGCAGGACACTGTCCCCCCTGCAATCCAAGGCTTCCACTTTGCCATGGCGTGAAGGTGGCATCTCAGTTTACAGCAATGCAGGAGGGGTGAGGAGGGGTCAGAGGGCAGAGAGAGAACTGGGTTCACACAGGTGGGCTCTGCATAACCCACAGCAATGCCTGCCTGTGATGCACCTGCAGCATCCCTTCCTCTACATATCCCAGCAGCTTAAAAAAAGGAGGGAATGGGCATGGACGAGGGAACTGGGAGGCCTGATCCTGTGAACAGCACAGCAGCCCAGCAGCAGGAGAAAGCAACAGCACTGCCAGCAGATAAAAACAAACACCAGATACTTCTCCTGGAGTTTTTCTCTCCGCCCTGTTGCAATAGAGAGAGACAAAAATTAAAAACAAACGAGAAAAGCCTGCACGCCTTGAGCAGATCCTGCCCACATTGCCAGCAGCCTCTGTTTAAATACATTTTCTGTGTAAGTGGCTGTGCATTTCCAGCCTCCCAGCAGCATGTCCTACTCTACGCAGCAACTCCAGATCAGCCCATCATTAACTGTTATAGCTCGACTTAATTGAACGTGTCTTAGTGCTCCATTAGCTCTGGCAGCAGCAGCCAGCTGGCTTGTGCTTGCCAGCAGCGCTGCCAGCTCCCTTCCTGAGCCCAGGAGTGAGAAAACAGGCAGAAAATACATGTGTATATAGGAGAAGAGTGTAACAGCACCACAGCACAGCTGCAGCCTGACTAAACTCTGCAGTGGCTATTAAAAATCTTCTCTCCCCTCCCTGGTCCCAAGAGGCACTTGGATGCCGGTCCTCATCAGCTCCTCCCTGGGGCTCACATCCCAGGTAGCCCCGACTCCTTCCAGTTATTTCCCGCTGGTGCGGGGCTTCGACGAAGGTGAGAGCAGGCATTCCAAGCGCGGACACTCCTGCATCCCGCTGAGCCACGTGTGCAGCACACGCTCTTCCGCTGGACCGCTTCCCTGGCAGGGCGAGGAGCGGGGCAGAGCCGCGGCAAGGCTGCTGCTGTCCCGGCTGGAGAGACCCGCGCTGGGCGGGGGCGTCTCCGCTCCTGGGCTCGATGCCTCTGTCTGAAATCCCCGCGCTGCCGGGGGGCTCCGGGCGCCAGCAGAGTTTTGTCGGGGGGGCTTAGTTAAGGGATAAAAGGGGACAAGGGACAGCGGCCCGAGCGCCGGGGCCGTCTGTAAGCGCGGTTAATCAGATTAGTAATTGTCATCCGGCCGGCGCTGGGGCAGGACGGCGGCGCTGGGGGCCGGGGGCAGCGCGGGGCCCGGACCTCGCCCTGCCCGCACACGCCGCCATTCCGCGCTCAGGGCCATTCATCCGCCCGGCCCCCGCCGCACGGAGCCGACCCCGGGCCGCCACCGCCGCCGCTGCCCGCGGGGCTCGGCTCCGCGCCCGGCGCTCCCAGCCCGCTCCCGTAGAGCCGAGAGCCGGGGGCAGCGCCGGCCGGGGCGCGCCGCTCGCAGCGCGGGGGGATCGCGGAAGAGCTGCCCGGGGAAGGGGCCGGGGGAAGGAAGGAAGGAAGGAAGGGCCGCCGCCGCCCCTACCCACCCGTGCCGGGTCGCGGTCCCTCCTCGCCGCCGCGGCCGTGTGGAGTCGTGGCACTTTCCGCCGCTGTCTCGCCGGGCTCGGCCGCCGCGTCCCGCCCCGCCCCGTGGCGTCCCGCCCGCCGCTCCGCTCCGCGCCGCGGGGCCCACTCAGCGCCGCGGCCGGGCCGGGCCGGGCGGGGCGGCGGCCGGGCCCTCCCCGCGGGGGAACCGGCTGTCCCCCCGCTGTCCCCCCGCTGTCCCCCCGAGTGCCGCCGCAGCGCCCGGGGCAGCCCCGAGGAGCTCTGCCCCCGGGCCGGGGATCGCTGTGTGCCGGCCGTGGCTGCCCGCCGGCCTCGCCCGGGGTATCAGCGTCGGGCCTGGGGCAGCGCGGCGAGAGGGTGGGTGAGGGGTCCCTCCGTGCTGGGGACTCTCCTCAAGGGCTGGGTGTGAGCACCAGGGAGCAGATCCGAAAGATGCCGAGCCCCTGCGGGAGCCTTTTCTCAGGGTTTGCAAACGTTGCGTGGTTGAACAGCGCTGGACTGGTCCATCACCCAGCAGCTTGCGGGTCCCGGGACAGGGAGAAACCCGTGGCCACGATGGCCAGTGCCACGCAGGACGGTGGCTATCCTCTTGGCACACGCCTTCTGTGTGTCTTCTGGCCTGGTTGTGACCTCCCATGGCAAGATTTATCAGTCGAGTGCCTGTTCACACCAGAGGGAGTTTTCTATCTGGAAGTGGGTCAGAAGTGACTCCCTTCGTGTCAGAGCCACCTGCTAGGCTGAACCATTGGACAAGAGCCAGAGCATCTTCAGGAGGTGCTGCACCTTGCCAGCCTGTAACAAAAACATGAGAACCACCTCAGCCCCATCTCCCCAGGAACATGTGTCCAAAACCAACCAACACCCCGACACCCAACCAGGTGGGAGTGTGAGGGCTGGCAAAAAGGGCTGGTCTGACAGCAGAGGTTTGCTGCCTACTCTGTAACACACAGGTGGCATTGGCTTCAGTTTTTATCCCAAAACAGACAAAATGTTTGGTCTTGCATGGGAATATGTCTCCCATGCCTCCACACCTTCAGCCAAGCTCAGAGTCATCTCTTTCCCTACCCTGCATTCTCCTCAGCCACACTGTGGTGCACAACCAAGCTCCTGCCTGGCTGTGGAGTAAGAAAGGCATCTATTAAAAAGTGTCTGTGAGGGAGTGATAATTCACCATCACAACACAGGCTGCTGGCACCTTCCAGCCTCCTGGCTTGGCACATCAACTTCGTTGTATTTCAGTGGCCAGATCTTCTCAGGGGGTGGCTGTTGGGGTTGGTCTCAGTGGTGTTCCTGGGATTTACATCAGCTGCCACTGGATTGTCACCCCCTGCACGGAGAACAAGCCGTGCTATTGAGGCCACGCTGGGGAGGGCAGCAGGTCCTGCCTGCAGCCTGGTACATCTCGACACAAGAGCAAGGGGAGAATGAGTGGCTGTTTCATGAGGGCTGATGTGGTGGGAGAAGAAGAAAAATATGATAATGGGGAAACATTTCAGCTAATTATGATAACACAGCTTCTGCAAGGGGACCCGAAATGGGCACAAGCACTTCTCAGCACTCATGAGGACTTGGAGGCTCTTTTGGGTTTTCTTTTGGGGCAGGGCAGGGCTCCGCACTTTGAGCAGGACCTGGGATGGGAAAATCCATGATGGCCATGACACCTCCAGGCAAAGGCATAAAGGTTTGGGATCCATTCCTGCCTCAGTCCACCTGGGATCATCAGCCCATTAGACTCCCCAAGGACCTTCTCCAAACCAAAGGGCTTGGACGCAGGAATGCAGAGGCTGAACATCACCGATGTCCCAAGCCCTGTGGGTCCCCATTTCCCTGGCTACATCTGTGGTGGAGCATGCAGCCAGGCACCCCTTCCAGCCCCCTGCCATGCCAAGAGCATCCTGGGACACCATGGGTGCTCTCTCATGCCTGCTGGGTGTGAGAGACCCGAGGCTGGGCTCTCTTAAGCTCTCTTAGCAAGGCACTGAGTACTTCACTGGGGCAGGGACTGGCATGCACAGCCCCAGCCAAGCACCCTGGCCATGGTGAGCTGGGCTGACTCTCACCACCTCCAGCCAAGGGAGCAATTGAGTGTCTGCTTCAGCATGGAACAAGAATGAGGGCAGAGCAATGGGGAAGTGCACGGTGTGGGGTGAAACCCCAGGCAGACAGAGCTGAGATGTGAGCCTGGGTGTCCTCTGCCACCATGGCACAGATGTGCTCAGCAACTGCTCCCTCTGCTCCTTCCCCAGCTGTGTTTGGGGTTTGTTGACAGATGTCTGAAGCCCTTGCTCATCCTCTCTTCCCCAACCCCTGTGTGGCTGGAAGCTGTCTCAATCCACAGTGTTCTTCCCAGCACCCACAGTCACCGCTGGTCTATTCTTGGGTCTTCCCCCTCACTTTATAAGACACCAAGTGTGTACCTCCCATCACAGTGTTTCCCTCTGCACGTATGCTGTTCATCCACACCACTGGGATAACATATTATCAGTGTAATTTGATTTCACCTTCATAATGAAGGCATTCTCCTTAAATACTAAATTCTCCTTAAATTCTCCCAACTCGGAATCCAGCCTAAATCCAGAGGTCTGTGTACCCTGTTGTTAAAACAACCAAAGTGCTGACAATTTTCCGCGCTCCTCTTCACTACTAGAAAGTTTTTTTGGGGGTTCAGTTTGAAAATCGCTTGCTCCAGTTCAAATTTTTCAGTTTCTAGTTATTTTTGCATCCACAAGTCTTTGGCTGTTGGTGAAGAAGCTGTTATTTAGCCCTGGAACATCTCCAAATCTTTCCACTGGGTGTATTAGTTATCCTGAACTCCTAACCATAGCTGAGGTATTTTTAGCTCTGTACAGCAGTCATCAAACAAATGCTGCCACAAGGTCTGCAGGACTCCCTGAGGTCCCCCACAGCCCAGCTCCCTTTGAAGCTCCAGGCTCTGTTGTGCAGAGGTGACCATGAAATCCCAGCTGGGAAGCCACCCAGGACTGTGACCAAGTGCTTTGTGCCATCCCCATGAGATCCACATCCAGGCTGTGGCCGAGCACAGGGACAGGCACAGCTCGTGCTTTCTTGCAGGACAGCAGGGAGCTCTGCCTGGCCTTGGCGGTGTCCTCGTGGAGGAGTAGAGGTGCTTGCCACCCACCACTCCCACCATGGAATATTTCCTGCTGCAGAAATACACCAAAAAGCTGAGAGGAACAAGAGCAGAGCAGCCCCTCACTCCAGACTCGGCTGCTGCCTGCTCCGTGGACGTGATGCTGCGTTGTCTCCTGGTCAGGCTGATTCTCCAAGCAGCACCACATCCACACTCGATCCTTTTGAGGACTCTGGAAGCAGCCTCCCCTTTTTCATAAAAGAAGGAATCAGTCTGTCTGGCCTCCCCTTGGCTCCCTGATGGTTCCTCCCAGCCTGCATGCCTTGCCAAACCCTTGCTGGTCTGGGTTTAATAAGCAGAGGCTCTGCTCCAGGGATGGAAATTAGAGGTGGATGCTGCAGCAGAGCAAAGTGTAGGGACACCGTGGCAAGAGCTTCTGGATGCCTCCTCACCCATGTTTCTGCAATGGCACAGCTGAGGCCTGGCTTAGAAAATGCACCGTGCCACAGCTGGATTTGCTTCTGGAGCAGGGTGTACCTCCTGCATGGCCTCCTTGTTTTTCCACCTAACTCCACATGGGATTGGAAAATACCACTGGAATATGAAATATGAACCAGGACCTGCAGGATGACCCCACATCAGTGGGCTAGCAGCCAGAGCCCAGTGGGACAGCCCAGTTCCCAGCAGACACTAAATCCCTGTGTCTCAGCAGCTGGGTGTTTGTAAAATAACACTCTTCCAGGAGCATTCCTGGTGTTCACGCCTTAGATCTCTGTTCTGCTGTTCCCCTGTCCCGACAGCTCTGCTCTGTGAGGTGCCCCAAATGCTGGCAGGAGCAGTGCAAGTCAGGCAGTCACCAGGAGCCAAAAGTTCAGCGAGTTCATCTTTGGGTCCACCGACAGTCGAAACATTGTTAGAGAAGTAGATTGGTAAGGAGCTTGGAGTTAAATCAGCTGATGAAGGGTTTCAGAATGGAACCTCTTTCTTTCCTCCCCACCTACTTCCCGTGTTGCCCACTGGCCTCATCATGGCCATTCTTCCTTCTGCCCTCGTGGCCATAACTGAGCTCCCATTCAGGTGGAAGCCCATCTGAAATTGGTGGAATATTGCTCTGGGCCATCTCAAGGCATGATGACAAATGTGGTTTGTAATGGGGCAAGGTCAAATATCCATGTGCTTCATCTGTTCCTTCATCCCTCACTGGAGATGTTTTAAGCAGAACTTAAACCTGTTCTCTGGAAGAATTTAATTAAACAGCTTTATCTCCACAGAGGGAGGTTGTGAGCCACCCCCTGTGGCTCAGCCAGCAATGAAGGAGTGTTAAAACCATCTGATTTCAGACCCCCAGATGTATCTTCTGTGGCTAAGGCTTGACACCAAAGAGATCTTCCAACCAATAGCTTCATGCAAGCAGCTCCTGCTCTCTGTGGCACTCAAGAGCCAGTAAATCAGGGGGCCCTGATTATTTTCTCTGTGTGTGTCTTGTTGGCACTTGGCAAATATTTTGGATTCTCCTGTTAATTCTTTCCCAGAACTTTGCGTTGTTCCAGCTGAGAACAATTCCTGGCAGGAGGAAAGCAGGAACAGGTGAGTGACTGGCAGAGGATGTGTTGGACAGGCTCAGACCCCATTTAGGATGGCTTGAGGTACCAGGGATGTACACCTCAGCCTGTGCCAGAAGTTAACATGCCCTCTGCCACAACGACAGGGAGCAGGATGCACCCGTGTCCTGTCTGCTGCTGGTCTCCATCCAGCACATACACGGTCACCCCAAAGCTCACAAAAACATTTGGCATTTTCCATGCACTGGTGACCTGCAGGGCTGCAGGACCAGCTGTCTGTAGCCTCAGCATCAGCCTAAGGTTACTCAGAAAGGGCAGCTGATGGACTGAGTGTGGCTGAATCTGTTCAGATGTGAGCTGTGATGCTGCAGTGGAAAACTATCCCTGTGCCAGGGCAGGCTTGTAACAGGAAAAG